ATTGCAGACAACACAGCGTTGATCTTATTGTTCTTAATGGAGACACATTTCATTCCTACACACACCTTCATTCTGTGCTGGCAGCTGGGGGTGGGGGCGTGACGCCAACCTACAGAGGGGACCGACTCAAGGCTTCTGGATGTTGCATGAATGAAGAACAGCACAGATCTGCTTTCAAACTTTCATAAACTTCAACTTACAGGTAGAAAAGTTAGGAAATATATGTGAGTTATCTGTGTTGGTTTTAGTGTCTGTGTAATCCATCCACGGCTTCTCACCTGCTGTTCTCGTCACCTTGGTCTACGGTTACCCTCACCTCCCCGTGGGCTCCTGCAGCAGCACTTGCTGTGAGAATACCTACCTTAGATGCACGTGCAGGAGAGGGTAGGTGACTTATTAAACCTGCAGAGTCCTGGGCCTGCCACCAGTCCTACTGAGCTGAAACAGCTATAGGTTGATCAGAGGAATCTAAATATTTTCCCCATCCAGCCCAGGTGATTCTTATGAGTCATAATATTTGCAAAGCAGTATATTTTCCTGATTCATTTAAAATATCTACATGAAGAGGGATTATTTTCCTCTTAAGAGACTCAGAAGCGACATTCATTTCAGGAGAACACCAGGACATACTGACTCCCGGATGCTTGCATCCGGGTGATGGAAACATCTATAACACCATCGGGGAAATAATATTCTCGTAAGTGCCAGCCTGTGATAAAACAGCTGTAATGAATTTTTATACATTTTATGTGAGATTTTTATTTCATCGTTCAGAAAAATCAATCAGACTAAAATCAGAATTCTAAACTGCAAAATTAACTGAAAGCATCCAAGGGAAATCCTGTTCTATCGGAGATGAGGAGCTAGAGCAGGTGGGTCGGGAAATGGTAACACAGGTATTGAGTGTCAGATCCAGGCTCCAGGTATTTTAAACAAAGCCCAGGGCTTTACCCCTTGGCTCATCTGTCTCTTTTCCTGCCTTCCTCCCCTCCCCGCCTTTCTTTCTTTACATCAGGAGCCCATTCTGACTTCAACTCTTCTTTTCACTGCCCAGATGATAAATGATATTTTCCTTTCTTTCTCAGTTTCTCTTTAGTGCTTAGAATTTGCATTCAGAATTCTGAATCCAAACATCCAAAATCCAAAATGCTCCAAAGTCTGAAATTTTTGAGCACAGACATGACACCACAAGGGGAAAATTCCACACGAAATTACTTAATAGAAGATTTGTTTCATGCACATTACTAAAAATATTGAGTAAAATTAAAAAAAAATAAACCCCCTTGGCTTCCTAAGGAGCCTTTTCTTATTCCTTCAGAGTCACAGGTTGTTTAGAAACCAAGCAAACCAATAACTTGACTGTCCCTCTCAGCATTGCAAATAGTTCACAGTTGGTAAAGATCACTTTTTCCTTTAACCGCATTCTAAACTAAGTTGACCAAAAGTGTTTCTTCGTCAGCTTCTTTTCTGTGACCTCACAGCTGATAATCTACCTTCAAGCAAAATAGTTTATATGTGAGATTTTGCATATAAGTAACATATTGCAATCCTTAACAACCTCATAAGAGATAACTATTGTCACGCTGAAGAAAAGATTCTGCAGGGAATCAGAGTCTTCCGAATTGGAAATGTGATTACTGTGGATCAGTCAAGATACCTTTTTCTGCCTCCCTACAGAAGAATTATCTGACACATTGAATATCTTTATTTGGATATCCAGGGCTTATGAGAGTGACTTCCTGAAATACAAATAAAGCAATATTCACCTAAAGTCCAATTGCTGATGTGACGTTCATTTAACAAAATTCAGCTTGAATGAACTGAGTCTTTTACTGACTAAATTCTCAATCTATAGCTGCTAAATACATTTGATCCCATATTAGAAACTAGTTAACACTGCACACACATTAAGCTGATTTTTTAGTGGGAACTTAAAATAAATTTTCTGGATTTAAATCTTTAGGTACCTTTTTTCTCTAAATCTGAGTTCAACTAAAGTCGTCACTTTAAAAAGTTTACTCAACTTAGTTCAAAACTTTTTAGTGGGGTTAACAATGTTCATCATAGCTTTTAACATTTAAAGCTCAAATGTCAAATGCAATACGTTTTAATAATATAATCACTGTATAACATCAAACTTTTCCCAGACGAATGTATTTCTAGGATTTTTATTTTTCATTCAAGAATATCTAAAGGAAACAGCTTATGTTTCATATTATGCTTGTTAATATTTGCCCAGAAATGAAGCGTATCCCCTAGGTAACAATTCCCTAAAGGTTTTCATTACATCATCATGTGCTTAAAACTTCTCGTTAGACAAGGCGCCAGACCATTTTATGAAAAATGTCTGGCATGTTGAAGAAATATAGAAAAACAGTTAAAAATGTAAGCTCATGAGTCAGACTAACTGTGCTTAATGCTTTTCTGTTCACTGCCAGAATGATCTGGGGCAGAATCTTAAACTCTCTGGGTATCACGACCCTCATTTTGATAATATTCACTTATAAAAAGGTTTGTGGAAACATTAAAAACGCTACTACCTCTAAAATTTAGAACAGTACCAGGAAGATTGCACTATACAAATATTACCACAACTATTACTGCATAAATTAAACTCATATTATTCCATAGTGTAATAATTATTACATTGCACTCCACATCATTATTTTAGTAGGCTCTAGGTAATGAATTATGGAATAAAGCTCATAAAACATTATTTGTATTGAAATATTTGAAATTTAAATTTGATTACATTGAAATAAACAGAGTACTTTAAAGTGTTAGTAAAAATTTGAAATCACTTTTGGTCTTTATCTAAGTCCTTTTTCTAAAAGATGGCCGAGAATTATAAGTCTTGGTGTGGGCAGAGGGATTCTCTTGGGGTAGGGTAGGGACTGGGCAAATAGTGCCCCTTATCAGACTTTGGGTTCCAAGGGAAAATTTAAAAATGGAAAGTCAAAAAGTGAGCTCTGTAAGCCAGAGAATGATGCCACCCAAGAGGAGGCCCAAAAGCCAACTAAGGGAAGATGAGGACCGTGGGAGCAGAGAACAGGCCTGAAATCCTGTGGCCACGCTGCTCCCCACAGCTCATGGATAGGGGATCTGGTTGCCATGCAGGGAAGCCGTATTTACAGTGCTGAGGACTGCACTTGGCAGTTAATATATTTCTTGTTTCTATTCCTGCTGCTTAGACTGGACCAAGTATAATTAGTAATTTTATTTTAGGCTAATCCACATACTCAAGAGGATATGCCCTACCTTCAAAAAAGAATGGCGTACACTTATAACTTCATGACAAAAAAAAAATATTAAAGGTATCTCAGTAGCAAAAAGACAAAACATTTAAATCTCCTCTGTCAGCAACATATATACCAGAATATGACAGCATGATACGATCACTAAGGGAAAGAAAACCAGAGGCCACAGCAGACATGGCCTCTAATGATTTTGAGACATCTCAGGGATTACTCAGGGGAATATAAAGAAACTGAAATAAAAAGAACAAATGTCAAATCAATAAAACTGACCTGTATCTGAAATAAGGCATCTCTAGAAAATGATTCTTATCTCTATTGGTTTTTTCTAAAGGGAGCCTAGGGAATTCTAGCTTGATCTTGCTAACAATGTATTCCATATTCATCTTGTACTAGAGAATAGTATTTGCATAATGTGAGATCCAGTTCCATGTGCAGGAGCACCCTGCAAGGAGCTCAGATGTCGGCTGAAGAAGACAACAGCCTGCCTTTCTGAGCATACCATAGCTTGCATTTAATTTCCCTTTGATGGGATTTCCCAGATTTGCTGGAGATTGCATTCCATGAGAGTGTCATTCCTTACAGAATGCTTTTGCTTAACACATACACATGTGTGCATGCATGCACACACACATATGTATACACATGCATATATCTTTGGTGGTGGTGTTATTAGCAACAACAGTTTTTTTTTTGTTTTTTTTTTTGAGACAGAGCCTCCAGCTGTCCCCCTGGGTAGAGTGCTGTGGCATCACAGCTCACAGCAACCTCCAATTCCTGGGCTCAAGCGAGTCTCCTGCCTCCGCCTCCCAAGTAGCTGGGACCACAGGCACCTGCCACAATGCCCGGCTATTTTTTGGTTGCAGCCATCATTGTTGTTTTGCAGGCCTGGCTGGATTCAAACCCGCCACCTTAGGTGTATGTGGCTGGCGCCTTAGCCACTTGAGCCACTGGCGCTGAGCCAACAACAGTTTTAAAGAATGAAGTTTTATAGAGGATGACACACAAACCCAAATAAGAGCATATTTGAAAATATTTGAGACTTCACTTTACCTCATTTCCCTGAAGAGGTGGTGAGAAGAAGCACCTTCCCTAAGTCTTTTTTACTTGGACATGTGGCAGAAATGAACTCTAACTGCAATATAATATATGAACATGATACATCTGAGTGCAAATTAGTCATCAAGAGAAAATAATCTGGAAAAGCCCACATGACTGAAAAAAGTACTCAACTTCTAATAAACATTACCACAAAATAGAAAGACTAGCATAAAATATAAATTATAATATTATAAGTAATTATTTTCTAATAAAATTTATGTATATAATTCTTATTTTAAAATACTATCCTTTCCCTTTCCTCATTTTTTTAGAATTCACATTGTTTAATTTTTAAAAAAATATTTTATCAAAAACCTGCTAAGATAAGCTCATGTCTAAATAAAACTATAAATGATTATATTAACACAAACTCTTTCAAGATTGACCAGTTTTCCATCAACAGGGTCATTTTTTTAAATATGGCAGATGTTCGATTCAAGATGTAAGATCATTCTTTCTTTAGACGTATTTCCATTGCCAAACATTGAGAAATATGAATAAACAGCTTCTACAATGTCCTAAGGAAGATCAAATACTACAGGAAACGTGGCAGAATGGTTAGACACAGAACTTTCCAGTTTTCATTGTTGTGGTTGTTATTTCACACACATTGAAGGAATGGCCAATAGCCTGCATATTACTTACTGATGGGTAGAGGTAACCTTCTCCATTCATGGCTATATACAACCCTGTCTTCACTCCCTGGATGGCAACAACGCGCAGTCCCACAGGGATGAGGTTGAACAGTGCTGGAATGATAAACGTGGTCTGTCATGAATAGGCAGGAAGAAAGCAAAGCAAGCAGCTTTTTTTTTTTCTGTCCTTTCTTTTGTTTAAGAAACATCATTTTTTGTTGCTGCTTTCTGAAAAGTTCCAATTAAATAACTTTCTCTTCTCTTTATAATTAAAAGTTTTGTTATGAGTGAAATTAGCACTCTAAGCAGTCCTAAGGGGAAAATTTATCACATTAAATACCTGCGTCTAAAAAACAGAAAGACAGCACATCAACAACCTACTGAATCATCTTAAGGAAATGGAAAAGGAGGAGCAATCTAATCCCAAACCTAGCAGAAGGAAAAAAATAACCAAAATTTAATCAGAAATAAATGTAATTCAGAACAAAAAAGTCATTTAGAAAATGCATGAAACAAAAAGTTGGTTCTTCAAGAAGACAAACAAAATTGATAAACCTTTGGGCAGATTAACTAGAAGCAGAAAAGGAAAATCACTAATAAGCTCAATTAGAGATGAAAAAGGGGAAATAACACTTGATACCACAGAAATGCAAGAGATTATCTCTGACTACTCTAAGAAACTCTCTATGCCCAGACATTTGACAATGTGGAAGAAATGGACCAATGCACATAATTACATCATCTCCCTAGATTTAAGCAAGAAGAAATAGATCTCTTGAACACACCAATATCAAGCACTGAAATAAAAGATACAATAAAAAAATCTCACAATGAAAGCAAGCCCTGGACCAGATGGCCTCACATCAGAATTCTATCAGACCTTCAAAGAAGAGCTTGTACCTATACTGCAGAAACTATTCCAAAAAATTGAGAAGGAAGGAACCTTCCCCCAACATGTTCTATGAAGCAAACATCACCCTGATTCCAAAATCAGGAAAGGACACAACTAAAAAGGATAACTACAGAACAATTTCAATAATGAATATCTATGCAAAAATACTCAATAAAATCATAGCCAATAGGTTACATCTACACTTTAAAAAAAATTATATATCACAATCAAGTAGGCTTCATCCAAGTGATGCATGGCTGGTTTAACATACACAAATCCATCAATGTAATTCACCATATCAGTAGAAGCAAAAAAAAAAAGATCATGTGATCCTTTCAATAGATACAGAAAAAAAATTTGGTAAAATTCAGCATCCTTTTCTAACAACTTAAGTACATAGGCATAGGTAGCGCATTTCTTAAATTGATTGAAGCCATCTATGACAAACCCACAGCTAACATCATACTGAATGGTGCAAAATTGAAAACTTTTCCTTTTAGAACTAGAACCAGACAAGGATATTCTCTGTTGCCACTACTATTCAACATAGTGGTGGAAGTTCTAGCCAATGTAGTCAGGCAAGAGAAAGAAATAAAGGGCATCCAATTGAGGGTAGAAGAGGTCAAACTCTGCCTCTTTGCCAATGATATAATCTTGTACTTAGAGAACCCCAGAGACTCTACTACAAGTCTCCTGGAAGTGATCCACAAATGCAGTCATGTCTCAGGGTATTAAATCAATGTCCACAAATCAGCCTTTTTACGTGCCAACAACAGCCAAGTTGAGAAGCTAATCAAAGACACAATTCCCTTCACAGTAGCTTCAAAGAAAATAAAATTCCTAGGAATAAAATAACAAAAGAGGCAAGGGACCTCTACAAAGACAATAAGCCCCTAAGAATGGAAATAGTAGAAGACATCAAAAAATGGAAGAACATCCCACTCTCTTGGCTTGGAAGAATCAACACTTGTTAAAATGTTTATAGTACTCAAAGCAATCTACAGATTCAATGCAATCCCCATTAAAATACCAACATTGTACTTTGAAGAACTAGAAAAAATAGTGATTTGTTTTGTATGGAATCAGAAAAGAAACCTGTATAGCCAAGGCAATTTTTTTGTAACTAAAACAAAGCTGGAGGCATTACTCTACCAGACTTCAGGCTATATTACAAGTCCACAGTGATGAACACAGTATGGTATTGGCACAAAAATAGAGACATAGACATTTGGAACCAAATAGAAAACCAAGAGATGAAAGAAGACTCTTATAGCCATCTAGTCTCTGATAAACAAACAAAAGCATACTGGGGGAAAGAATCCTTATTCAACAAATGGTACTGGGAGAACTGGATAACCACATGCAAAAGACTGAAACTGGACCTGCACCTTTCACCACTTACAAAAGTTGACTCAAGATGGATAAGATCTAAGATGTGAAATGATACAAATCCTAGAATAAAGTGTGGAGCAAACTCTTGATGTTGATCTGGGGAAAGATTTTATGAAGAAAACTTCAGTGGCAATTGCAACAACAATATAAATAAACAAATGGAACTTAATTAAACAGAAAAGATTTGGAATGGCTAAGGACACAATTAAAGCAAAAATACAACCTTCAGAGTGGGAAAAGATATTTGCATGGTATGAATCTGAAAAAGGCTTCATAATTGGGATCTATAGAGAATTCAAATTAATCAACAAAAAGAGCAAAGAATCTCATCTATCACTGGCAAGAGACATAAAAAGAACCATCTGATTAGGGATGACAAGACACAGGGCGATGGACATGTGGCTAACAAACATATGAAAAGATTCTCATCATCCCTGATCATCAGAGAAATGCAAATCAAAACCACCCTCAGGTATCACCTAACCCCAGTGAGAATAGTCCACATCACCAAGTCCCAAAGTTGCACGTGCCAACATGGATGTGGAAACAGGGAAACACTTTTACACTGTTGGTGGGACTGCAAACTAATACAGCCTGTTTGGAAAGAAGTATGAAGAATCCTCAATGAACTCAAATCAGATCTCCCATTGGACCCTGTAATCCCACTACTAAGCATCTACCGAGAAGAAAAAAAAATCATGTTATCATAAATCATTGCACTACTTTGTGCAGCTCGATTTACAATCACCAAGATGTGGAAACAACCTAAATGCCCATTAACTCAGGAATGGATTAACAGACTCTGATATAGGTATACTATGTAAAAATATTCAGCCATTAAAAAGGATGGTGACTTTACATACTTCGTGTTAACCTGGATGGAGGTGAAACACATTTTTCTTAGGAAAGTATGACAAGAATGGAGAAGCAAAAATCCAATGTACTCAACACCAATGTGAAGCCAGCAGGTGATCTAATACACACCCACATAAGAGATAAACTTAACTAAGTTCAAGTTGGGAGAGGGGTCTCAGGGAGGGGGACTAGGCTAGGGGGATTGGTATGCTCCCACCTAATGGGCTCAATGTAAGGCATATAGAGCACACCTTTTAGACGTGGGACACAACTGCAAAGGGGGCTCTACCTAACACATTCAAATATTATGACCATGTTGTTTTTACCCTCACATTAGCCTGAAATAAAAAGAAAAAAAAAGAAGAAGAAAGAAATTAGCCCTTTAGCTCCAATTTTAAATCTTCTTACTGGCCTTGCCTATGGAATCCTACAGAACTAGTGGGATAATCAACAGAATCAAACCTGTAGTCATGACTGTAGTAACAGTCTCTGCTACTATCCAATACTAAAAAAACAAAAATCAACTAAGAAGATTCTCAAAGAGCACGATGTCAAGTGTCCAAGTTGAATGTTTGTTCTGACCCTTCATGCAGAAGTTGTCACTGCAGTGTGAACAGAGCAGAAGGTGGAAAGTAATTCCAACACTAAATTACCACTGCAGAAACAATATGGTGCACCAGCAAAGCCGAGAAGAGATGTGCACCTGCCAATGGGCTGATTTAGAAAGAACTGATGAAACCAAATGCTATGAAAATATTTTGTTTCCATGTTTTGTTTCTTCCCTAGTTGATAAACAAAAAGGTATTTTGATATTTTTTGCACAGTGCAGATAGCAATGGCATGGGTAATTTTTTTTATCTGAATGCATTTCTGGTGCACATCCACGTTAGTGTTACATGTTGAGTAGTGGGCCTTCTAGCTCCATCTTAATGATAACTGCTTGATGATTTTGGAGATTTTATTGTAGATACATTTATAAGGGAACTGCTATTTATCCACAGTGAGGTTATCTACTCCCTCTCATGTCTTTCTTAACTCAATCTAATTCTAAGCCCTAGGATAGGGGCAGAACTGGTATGAAACACACTGAAATGTTGACATAAACATGTAAATAAAATATCTAACTTTAGGTTCTCAACTGTAGCCCACAAAGGTAAATCCTTTGAAAACTGTGGGCAACTTTGACTTCGTTTAAAGGTCTACTCACTACATATTAGAAACAGACTTTAAAAATTGTGTTCTATTTAATCATCAGGGATAGAAATTCTCCTTCTAGGGTGGAAGAACCCATGTTCTTTCTTCTAATTATTACCTGTTACTGTTCCCCAAATCTCAAGATGTCTGTATTGGAGTCCAGCTACTCAGTTGTCCTCCTGAGTACCCTTCCGTTGGATCTTAGCTCCACTATGCAGACTGACTTTGGACTGTCTCCTATAAGGGGCTCAGGGATTATTACATATATACAGAGAAGGAGTTTTATTGTTGCTCATTTCTATGATTTAATACTAAATACGGGCATGAGGTTGTGGAGTACCACTGTAACTCTCAGTAGCCCTTCCCTGTGGGAGAAGGCCACGTCACAGTGACTCTTGTTTAGAATATTTGGACTGTACCAACTCTCTTATATTTTGAAAAACTAAGCACCATGTGATACATTCTGATTTATGTGCAAATTTTTTTTTGGTGGGGGAAAATAATCATATTCCTGTTCATGCAATCAATTCAAAGCTAATTATGCTAACATTCAGACATGCCTTGTGATATTTTTAGGTGCCATATATTTGATAGAGATCAAATGGTATAATTCTAGAAGACAAATGAATCAGGAACTCACCCAAATAACGTGGGGTGGGAAATAGAAAAATTATACAAGCTAGATATCTGAGTACATCAGATACTGGCTTTTCCATTCTTATGATATTTTACGAAGGAGATAAGGTTAATACAAAAGATGTACTATACACCTATATAAAAGAAAAACGCAATTAAATTCAGGTGGGAGGGGGAGGAGGAGAAAGAGGAGGAGAGACAGGAGAAGGGAGGCCCATTGGTAAGCTCTCACCTAACGGACACGATGTAAGTGTATATGGCACACCCTCGGGGTTGAGGGCTCAAATACAACTTGGACTTTGCCTGAAAAAATGCAGACAATGTAACCTAATTGTTCGTATCCTCATATTAATCTCAAATTTAAAAAAATAGGTATTAAAAAGAAAGAAAAATTATACAAGATAATCTAAAATGGCCATGTCTAAAAAAAAAGTAGTTTCTTAACCAGGATTTTGGTGGGAATGTGCGTGATAAACACAAGGTATTATAACCCATAAAATGTAATAAGAAATCAACCTTTATAGCCACTGTCCCGTGGAGGGCCATTCACAGCTGACCGTGAGGGAACTGGGACTAATTAAAGCCACAGACACCCACAGTAATTGAGACATCATTGTATTTTTCTACTCTCCATATTTTACATAATTACAAAGCAATGTCACAAAGCCCGGGATGTCGGAATAATGAACATATTTGACCAACTTTGTTTATTCTGTGGGACACTCTAGTTTTCCATGTAACAGAGATTTTTCAACCCCAGCTGTACATTAAAGGTGGCTGTGCTCATACAATATCATGGCCAAGTTCGACTCCCTGAACTATCAAATTACAATCTCTGGCAGTGATAGGGCATAAGGAATTTTTGGAAAAGCTCCCTAAACGGCCATGGTATGAACCACCCAAAAACTGTGAGGTGGTGGTCATCGAGTGACTGACAAAGTTTACTACCAAAGTAAAAGGTGAGAGGAATTTTTTTTAATGGTTTTAAGCATCTATATAGTTCATTGAAGTATCTAGTAAGTCTGGTAATAGGAACAATGAAGTTTAAGAGAAAAAAAAATCCACAGCATCCTTAGAAACACACTGGGGTAAAGAAAAACCAATAGCTAATAAAATACAATCCTTCCTGGTAACAGTGACAGATAGTAGAATTTTAAAGAAATACACCTCTGAAAATGAGTGTGGCGATGAAGTCACCCAGGTGCTCACTAGCTTTCTTGACAGATCTTTCCAGGGCACATGGTAGCCAGTAATTAGCAGTCAAGTCACCACAGCACCTTCTCCACTAGGACCGTACACCCCTCGTCAGTGACAGTCTTGCCATTTTTCCTTCCCAAAGATCTGCAGATCTTAGGCTGGAAACCCTGGAGGAAGAGGTTCACCTGCCAGTGGGCTCTTTTTTCTTTCTTGACTCATCTAAAATGTTTAACAAAGACAGCTTAGCAGGATGGTTCTGGCTTCTCCTCATTCTAAATGATCCCATGTTTAGTAGTGGGAAATGAATTGAATTCCAGCCATGAAGATTTGAAGGTACGAGTCTCCTTTGCTTGTCTGTTGGCATTCGGACTGATATCTGGGTAGTTTTAGGTTACTTCTCATTATTTTTCTTATTAGGAATGACAGATCCATGGTTCGTATTCAGGGGATTATCAAAAAATGGAAATACATTTGTGAATTATTACATCCCTATTATCTCCCCCTCCTCCTCCAACAGAAATACCTGTGCTGTAACCAGGACCTGTCTGTCGTCATTTCCAATGCACTCCTCCACTTTTAATAATGGTTTTCAGGGCTTACTTCTTTCCTAAGACTCATCAGACTACAGCAATGAATCAGAAAAACAAAAGTATCTTAAAACTCATCTTATAAAAAACAGTGTTTTTCAATTTAAAATGATGACAGGACGCAAAAGTAAATTAGCAACTCTTCCTGTTCTTAAAAATCTGCCATAATCCTGCCAATCGTTATTAAATTTTGTAGTTGTAGAATTTGTATAGCCTTTTGAAGAAAGAACATTATCTCAACCTCTTTTATTTTTTATCTTTCCAAATGTAGAAATAGTAAGAAAACAAACCTAGCGAGGCTTATAGTGTATATAAAACGTAATATCACATATAGGAAAAGATGCTGTCAACCCCATCTTTGCACAGGGATTTGAATCCCTCCAGCATGGATATTATGGTTTGGTTCTGATTTGCGTTTACTCAGGGGATCCTGTTACTGTCCCCTTCTCAAGACTTTTCTTGACCAACATTTTGCAGGGGGCATCATTCAAGAGTTTCTCAGTTTCTCATTCCTTGCCGAGAAGATACGTAGTAGAAGGAAAAAGCAAACAGTTAGAGAACAGAAAGTTGAGTATTTTTTTTGGTATCTCACCTATCCAGTTTAGTGTTTTACAATATTGCGACCATCAGACCTAATGATGTGTATGTCTGTCTGCATGTAACATCTACATGTGTACCTTCAGAATTTAAAAAATAATCTACAGCTTATTCCCTGCTGAAGCATTTTGCTTTTAAAGACAATTTCTCAAGTGATAGCATTAAGGGTAAACATTTTGTTTGTTATTACAAAACACAAACACATATACATAAAGAGAAAAGCTAGGGGTAAAAAATCTATTAACGCCTTTGTTTGAAAGAAATTATTTTTCCGAGTAGTCCCGTGAAGGAGCATTTTCATACAGCCATAGTTTATTTCCTATCCTGAAAACTTTGTCATATGGTGTTAGTCTCTACTCTGATGAATCTTTCAGAGTTTGTAGCTCATATAATGATTAGAGTTGAGGAAAACCAGATCTCATGTTCTATGACACTCTGGACACAGAAACTCAGAGAAGTTCATATAATGATCAGAGTTAGGGAAAACCAGATCTCATGTTCTATGACACTCTGGACAGAAAAACTCAGAGAATATTACAGACATCAAAATTTAGGAAATCTCTAAACTCCATCACCTCTACAACTGTCCAACATAACAAAAAGGAAATGCCTCTTCACAGAGACAGGGAAAGGAGTTAAAGGTGGGAAGAGAAAATGAGCAGATAGACGTTTCCTAGGTCACACTGTAAGAAACCTTATAGGTCAAAGATGGTCAAGTAATGATAGTTTTAAAAGATCCAACCTATCCAAAAGATATTTAAAAGATCCAGTCCAAAATTTCCACATGTAAACAATGCCTCCTCTTTGTTCCCTGTACCAGAATTGCTTTAGCTCCTTCTTTCATAAATCAAGAGAGGAAATAAAATTAAAATAATGAATAAATATAAAAATAAACATAAAAGGGCTATATGAGACACAAGGAGAGAAAAGAGATTTGAAATTGAAAAGGAAACACATTATAGACCTATTTTATATCATTAGCTGCTCACCAAATCAGCGCTACTGACAATTTAATCACTAGAATTTTAAACAGAAAATGCCTATAATTTGGTTACATGTATTGTTCAAATGCTTCCTTCTTTTCATGGAATGATGTTTATGTGTGAATAATAAAAATGTAAATTAATGAAAAGATTCATATGAACTCCTGATCCACTCGTAATATTTCTTGTAATTAAATATTCTAATAAAGGCACTTTTGCTTTTCACTAACTCTCCTTAACCATAAAAAGTTTGTTTACCTTTGAACTAATATGCTAAATTAAAAATAATCAAATGCAATATAAACAGAAAATGGGAAAAGAAAACACAGCAAGTTGAGTAAGGAAGGACATGAGGCAAAGAAAAGTTATACATAAAGAAGTGGCCAAAAGAACACAGATATTGACACAGTGGAAGGTATGTGGCTTTTTTTTTTTTTTTGGAGACAGAGTCTCACTTTGTCAGCCTCCGTAGGTATAGTACCATGGCGTCACAGCTCATGCAACCTCAGACTCTTTGGCTCAAGCAATTCTCTTGCCTTGGCCTCTTGAGTAGCTGGGATTATAGGCACCCACCACAATGCCTGGCTATTTTTAGAGATGGGGTCTCAATCTTGGTCAGGCTAGTCTCGAGCCTATGATCTCAGGCAATCCACCTGCCTCAGCATCCCAGAGTGCTAGGATTACAGACGTGAGCCACCACGCCCAGCCATATGTGGCTTTTTAATAAAAAAAAATTATCACAGACACAATTCTATGAAATAGTTAAGCATTTACCATGTATTTAGAGGTACACAGCCTTCATGTCCTCTTTATAAGAGGAATATTATATTTTCTTATTAAATGCAAAGAATTTTTTAAAAATGTATTTCTGTCATTTGAAACAACTACTCCTTGTATGACTTGAAGTTCCACAGGTATCATTAAGGTTCTAGAGGTCTGATAAAATAATGTACCCAGAGATAACATGAAATCAGTTTCATCTGAAACCACTAGTGTACTAATTAGACTTTTGTGTTAATGAGATTAAAAGTAACAGCCATTTTTTTGGGGGGGGGGAATATGACAATTATTTGAAAAAAAAAAAAGACCTCATCATTATCTTAAACATCGCAAGTTTCTTTTATTGCCCCATCAATATTTTCAGCCATGTGGTTTAAACAAAATCATCAATGGCAGTACAGCATGTAAGATTTGGAGCAATGAACCAACATAACCAAACATTAGTAAATGTATCTTAAAAAGTCATTTAAGCCGGGTGTGGTGGCTCACATCTCTAATCCCAGAACTGTGGGAGTCTGAGGAGGGAGAATTGCTTGAGCTCAGGAGTTGGAGACTTGCCTGACCCTGTCTCCTAAAAAAAATGGAAAAACCCCAGCTGGGTGCCACCATGAGCACCTGTAATCTGAGCGCCTGTAATCCCAGTGGGGATGTCCACAGCCTGAGTCTGAGGTTGCAGTGAGCTATGACGCCATTGCACTCTGCTCAGGGCATAGGGTGGGACTCTGTCTCAACAACAACAAAAAAGCAAAGAAATAAAAATAAAAAAATAAGCAAGGAAATAAAAAAAAAAGTCATTTGGGTAGCAATATACCTTCTACCAACTATGTTTATTGCTGGCCTGAGGTTGTCACTTACTAGAATTGGTGCTGTCATCCTTGGTCCCATCGAGAGCTCCATCGGGGTGCATTTGCAAGTAGTAGCCTTGTCTGCAATATAACCTGGTCACTATACCCTTGAGCTGGGGATCTGAAAGGCAAACACAGTCATCATAAGCCTCATGAAGTGACACAACACAGTTTTAATTTTTTTCTTTTCTGTTTCTTTTTTCTCTTTAAAAGAGGACATTTTATAGAAGTGGCACATTTTGTTTTATGTCTTTCAGATTCTGCGTTTTATCAAACTTACAGTAATCATAGACAACAAAGAAAATGCAGAAATAAGTCATTTAATGAAAGTAATATATGTGTATTAAATTATTCGTTAAAACTATTAAACTAATTAGGACATGAGCTTATGGTTTTTACACTATAAACTAATTATTATTAGCAATATTATCATTCAGGATGGCAGTACAAGAGTTTTGCAAATTCTTTTAAGAAATTTCATTAAAGGCCTTTTAATAGAATTTTCCTTTTACAAGTTGACAAACATCTTCAAAATATAAAACACGTGTATTTTTAAAGCATTCAAACTAACATTTGATACACAGTCTTAGAAAAAGCCCTGATTCGGAGAGCATCCCCTTGTTGTCTGAAGGATCATCCTAACATCCACGGAAGCATCGATGGCGCTTACACACAACCCACAGGAAAACAGAAAACACTCCTTCTGAACAGGGGGAGGCACAGCAAAACCTACGCAGTGAGGTCAGCTCTGAGCCAGTCATCTAGGCAAATTAAACAGATGAACCTGCCAACGTGTAAACTGGAAGAGCTAGTGAAATACACAATACAGAACCTGAATCTTGGTCAACAGGCAACTTTGAGGTAGAGGGCAGCGGGAGTTTATTAAAACAAAAAGTGAAATCATGTTGTAACAGACTTCTCATCTGGTGATTCATTGAAAAGATAACCACCGTAATAACCCAGTGCTTCACAAAGAGCCCGTTGTACCTTTGAAAATAAATATTGACATGTGGATTTTCAAAGGCCATCCCCATCTCAGGGCTAGATTTGATAAGGGACGTCATAATCTTCACCATGGCAACCGGCGTCTCTCCACAATAGGTAAATGGAACATGCAAACAACCTGCCCGGGCTGTCAAAGCAGGTGGACAGTGCTGAGTGATGAACCTGGCGTCTGGTAACTGAGAGAAAAAGCATGGACTTGTAAACAGATGAGTGCAAAAAAAAAGCTGTTCAAAAACAGAATATCCTTAAGCTTTTGATTAGTGCTCAAAAAATAACGAATTACAGCCAGTGTCTGTTTTTAAGCACATCATGTATAACTGCTAATTTGAAAAATGACTCTCTCCATCATACACAGGTTTGCTTCATACATGATATGATATTGAAAAATAACCTTTTGGAAACATAAAAAACATACCAGGGCAACATCAGCGTGACTGAACATATTAGATTATAAGTGTTTTTAAAAGCCTGGAATTAAAAAAGTATATCTAAGTGATTGTTAGGATTGTGCTACATAAGCTCCTTATTTTTCAATAATTAACTCCCAAACATCATGTAATTCTAAGATGTGCATTACTGGGAAAAAATAAAATTACTATTGTGCCTTCGTCTGCCCATCACCCCAGAAACTTGACTGAGCTACGACCCTCTAAGTACTAACGGGTTCCTTCCTTAGTTTTGCTGTATTTTATTTATGCTCTTCACAGAACATAAATAGCATGAAATAGAACAAAAGTGATTTTATTTTCAACTGGGGGAGAATTTCTTGATTGCCATGAAAAAAATATTCAGCATTTTAAAGATTGATAATTTTTTCCATAAAACCTCCCTGTCCTGACATCACTTACTTCTAAACCATCCTATACTTTGGCCACTCTATCTTCTGGGGTTGGGTTAACTGAAGCAGGCAAAGCACGGAGAGACACCTCCGCACTCGCTCCTGAGCTCCATTTACGTGGAGAGAGACTTTTCCCACCACACCTTGTTTATGATGAAGAAATACAAATGCAACATGAAATTATGTTTTTAAGCTCTCCCTTAATTTCAAGAAAATAACACCACATGGACGTCGATTTATCTTCTTTCATACTATTTGCTGTTTTCCTTTTTAGAGTCTTAACAGCATTGACTGTGTTCTCAAGTCACAGGCACCACTCTGAGGACAGTCCACGATTAATTCAGTGACTCCTCATCATGGCCTTAGTGAAAAGGAACTCACTTTAAGGATGAGGAAATTAAGATACAAAACAATTACGTAATTTGACAGAGGGCAAGTAGCTAATCCATGCAAGCCTAGAATTTGAATGTGAGCGCTGAGGTCTGGAGCCTGCCCACTCAAACATGCTACACACCACGTTCTCTACAAATGAAACGATTAAACTAAAAACTAAAATGAAATGCAAAACAATCTGTCTAAAACAACAACGAAATGAATACCTAAATACAAGTTTCTCACAGCAGAGCTAAATCTGCCACATAAAGCTAACGCACAGGTTAGAAAGGACCAGGATCCTGACATCTCGTCCAGGATCCTCCCTACTCTACCACTGGTCACATTTCCAACAAATATTTACCCCACAAAACTTTCACCAAAATTGCAAATTGAGTAATCTAAGTTTAAAATTTTTCCAGTATCATTTTTACTTTAATTCTCTCATCTCCACCATCTCCAGCCAAATGGTATTTCCGTCCCCTCCCCCGACTTTACTATTCATGTTGACAGTGTCTGTTCCTCCCATCTATGCAGTAATGTCCTTTGGATCCCACTCCATGAGCTGTCCAGATCAGTTACCATGGAAGCTTCTTTACAATATCCCTACTCTTTTTTCTCTTCTCTATTCACTGCCAGCCCCTCCTCACCTCTCCCAGGTGGTTTTCCTACCTGCAGTTTGCCTGGTATAAGCCATCAGATTTAGACTCTTCACCACCTGCTGAGTGATGGACACGCCCTCCAGCAGCAGGGCCCCATCCTCTCTGTGGCCATGTTCACCACTTCTCCTGCCCCACTCCCAGCATGTAGCCTCACCTGGGTCACTGTGGGCTCCTCACAAATATTCTGTACTTTTTCAAATGTACCCCTGCCTGTCTCAAATATACCCTCCCACACGTAATAACACCCCTTGCACATCTGTGTGGACGTGCACCCGCATGCACACATCTCTGCACGGTGCTAACCGCTTTCCTCTCTCCCAAATCTGCACCATCAACACGTCCACCTTCTCGGGGCACTTCCCTGACACCTCAGAGGAGTTCACACTCTCCCTTTGGGCTCTTTCATGGCAGCACAGAGTAGAGTACAACCTACACCCAGGTACCTGCCACTGACATTAGACAGATGTCAATATTTTGCTTTATAATTCATGGTCGTAATTTCACATCTGTTTATGCAATTGTGACTAATGTCTGCCTCACACAAATTGGACCATAAGTGTCATGAAAATAGTTGAAATGTGTGATAACTAACCATTACATCTCCCGGGTCTGAGAGAAATGGATTCTGACAAGGGAGGTAGTAAGACATCCAGTAATTACATATATTGCTGATTGAGTTAAAATTAGAACAACAGTAAGAAAACCCAAGATGGCAACTAAAATAAAGCCTTAAACGTGCCCACGTATTTGACTAATTATACTTTCCACACCTCTAACTTAAAGATAAATCATAAATGTTGTAAATGGTATAATAACATGAATGTATATAGCACGAGCCTGGTTATATAAAAAATAACATCCACAGAGAAGAAAAAACCCCGAGAAAGAGAATAGACCAAAATATTCAATGTAACTGTATTTTGATGGTAATTGGAACATTTGTTTTTCAACATTTTATTATTTGCACAATTTCTCATGATGGCATCCTAATTTGATAGCCAATATGCATAGATTTTAATAAAATCTATTAATATTTTTTAAGAACTGGATAAAAATAACATTTCACAGATATTTGCAAATAAGTTTGCATGTGTATATGCAAATTACCTGAAACACATATTACTACTATCCTAACTGGTTGTTCAAGACTTTTGAGCATTCCGTTTATTAGTCTATTTTTATGCATATTCACATATCCATAAAACCTACGCTATGAGACTTCACTACACATACAACGGCCCACTGTGCACTACGGCCATTTATAGCTTAAGAGCATTCTTCCAAATAATTAAAACATAGTAAAAACAGAACCTTTCCTGAGGCCAAAGTATGTAATCAAATAATCATAGTAGGAAAAAATACATTTGACTGAGGATAAATGCATCAGCTATTTACTGTCAGGCAAAGGTAAGACTCAGTTTCTAGGCTTCCTGTGAATGGGAGGACATGATCCTTTGTTTTCTCACACACAACAAACCTCATCCTGAGTCTAACATGCACTGGACAACTCACTTCCATGTATTATTTCATAGACTGAGAGAGGAAATTGCCCCAGACTGACCGGGAAGAGTCCCCATGACTATGAGAATGAACAGAACCAGACTGGGCGGCTACAAGAGAAGAGAAGCATGTGTCTCTAATGGAGTCAAAAGTAGGGTGCTTGTCCCCAAAGTAGAGTGCAAGCCAACGCACTGCAGTGAGTGAAGACACTGTGTGGAGGCTCGGCGCCCGTACCCAGTGGTGAGGCACTGGCTGCAGACACCCGGGCTGGCCGGTTTGAACCTGGCCTGGGGTCTGCTAAACAACAGTGACAACTACAACCAAAAAACAGCTGGGCATTGTGGTGGGCACCTGTAGTCCCAGCTGCTTGGGAGGCTGAGGCAAGAGAATCACTTAAACCCAAGAGTTTGAGGTTGCAGTGAGCTGTGACACCATGATACTCTACCGAGGGTGACATACTGAGACTGTCTCAAAACAAAAAAACAAAACAAAGAAAAAGGCATTATATAGGAACTTCCTTTTTATCATCTCCAAAGTGAGAATGCAATTAAGCTTTGCTAATTAACACACTAATGGATCTAGGTATTTTCAGTCGGCTGCATGTCACTTTAGGTCTTTATAGCACTTGACACATGTTGAACATTCTGTAATTCCGGGGGTTACACAGTAACACTGGCTCTCAGTCATTTGCTCCCAGTCAATGGTTTCCAATATGTTAAAGTGTATGTGTTCCTGGCTAAGTAG